ATATTAAATATTTTACTTTTCCAAAAGACCTCGAAATTGCTGAACAGTGGCGCAAAGAATGCGGAAAAGATGTGAACGTTTAAACTGGTAAGTTTTGTTATTTATTTATTTATTAAGAGCAAACACTCTTTTTACAACAACTATTACAACTTTTTGTTCTTAATCCCTAACGGTAAACGCCTTTTAACTTCGCGAAAATATTTTTTATTAGTAGCTTTACTTCGTAGTTAACCTAAAAAATTTAGTAATAGAACTAAAAGTTTGCAGTAAAATTGTAAAAATTTACAGCAAAACTTTGAATTTAAAGTATTTTTGCAACTTCTAAAAAACGTTTTCCTGAGACATTTCTTCGTGGAATGTATTTGCAACTGACTTGTTCCCTTTATAAGGAATTGTTGTAAGCAAATTATATACCGACACTATGCAAATTGTACACCAACATTGTTAATAATATAAGTTTATTTTTTTGTTTGTCTAGCTAGGATATGTTCTAAGCATTTTGATGAAACGTGCTTCGTGAAGTCTTTGCAGCAACAAATGCTTCATTATAGTCCTTGTAAAGGGAGAAAGTTACATTTGGATGCTATTCCTACATTGCATCTTCCTCCAACATCTAGTGTTTTAACCAAGGATGAGTTTGATCAGGCAGCTTTGTCAACTGCAAGAGCCTCTTATACAGCAGTGCCTCTACCAGTATCAGTTGCAAATACATTCCACGAAGAAATGTCTCAGCAAATGTCGAGTGATGCTTCGTTGACTGAAGTAGTGCCTTTGTCAGGAACCAGTGACGTTCCAATAACTATTGAAGCATTTCCAGTGTCTTCGCCAGTATCTGGTGATGCTTCATCATCCACAGTATCCACAGATAATAAAGTGTTGCCATTTTCTAAAATGTAAGTTTTATAAGACACAATGTAATAAAAAAAGCATTAAATCATAGTAAATCTTTGAAGAAATTTACAATTATATACTTACTACTTACAATTATATATACTTACTTTATTAATTTTATTTTATATTTTTAGAGAAGACATTTTACTCGAGAACGCTGCGATGAAAGCAAAGGTTTACGAACTTGAACAACGGATAAAAACAGAAAATGAACGCTTCAAAAACAGAATGTATGAGCTGCTGGGAAAATTTTTTACTCCAGGACAGATCCGACTTCTGTTAAATCCATCATTGAGTAAAGTCAAGTGGTCTTCCGTAGACATCGCAAATGCTGTATCGTTGCGGTGTGCAAGCCCAAAGGGATACCGATACATGAAAAATGTCATGAAAATACCGCTTCCTGGCTTGTCAACACTTTGAAGGTGGGCAAACCGAGTTCGTATTGAGACAGGTGTTCTTTTTGTTGTGCTTGATGTGATGAAAGCTAAGAAAAAATGCATGTCTGATGTCGAAAAACTAGTTGTGCTTACATTTGACGAAATGTATTTAAGTAATAAAATAAGTATAGATCGGGAAACAGAACAAGTTATTGGTCCTTATAGGACCTGTCAATGCGTAATGGTACGTAGCCTTTTCTCGAGCTGGAAACAGCCTATTTATTATCAGTATGATAAATCGATGGATGTAAGCACTCTTTTTGAGATCATTTCAAAATTGCATGATTCTGAATATACAGTGGTAGCTGTAACGAGTGATATGGGACCAGGAAATATGAAATTGTGGTTGGAATTAGAGATTGGCATGCATCCTAAAAAATGTTATTTTCAGAATCCAGTTTGCAATGACTTGCAAATATTTGTGTTTGCAGATATGCCGCATCTATTGAAGTTGCTAAGAAATCATTTTCTTGATGATGGTTTCTATTGGAAAGGAAAAAAAATAGAAAGCTCAGTTATTCAGAAATTGATATCTTTAAATTCTAAAGATTTGAAAATAGCACACAAAATTACAGATGATCATTTAACCGTACAAGGTTCAGATAGGCAAAAGGTTTTGCCTGCTGCGCAGCTACTGTCTAATACAACAGCACATGCAATAAGATGGTGTTCTGAAAAAGGCTTTTTGCAAAACATTGAGGTTCAAGATACCGTTATGTTTATTCAGCTCTGCAATGACTGGTTCGACGTATTCAATGCTAAATCCAAGTTTTATAAAGTAGAAGGAAAATGTGCTTATGGTGTGCATATCCAGAAACAAAATGAAATATTAGATCAAATGACTGCATTTATAAGCGAATGCCGAATCGGAAAGCATAAGAATATATTGAGCTTTCAAAAAGGAATTTGCGTAAGCAACACTTCCTTGCAACAGTTACTGCCGTACTTACAGGAGAAATATGACACCTACGATATTTCTTACATAACGACGTACCGTTTAAACCAGGACTTACTGGAACACTTCTTTTCTTTTATCCGATCATTGGGAGCCACTTACGATCACCCGAATGCTCTAGACTTCAAATTTCGTTTAAAGCGCTATATTTTAGGTAACCATTCAAGTGATTTGTTATCATCAAAATCAATATTCAAGAAAGCGAAGAAATCGACCATTCTTCTCCCGATCTTGACGAATCTTTGTTAATAAATATGCAAGCATCGTTAGATAGTAGGGAACAAATCAAATGAAAGAAAAATACTATGCATTGCTGCAATAAATCGTGCGTATGCGAAAATAATAATTGTATTTCATTTGAACTATGTTCTTTCACTCCAACTTATGAAGAAGAACAGCTATTGTTATCGTTAGATAAATTAGATATAAGTGACATCATAGAAGAAGACGCATTAAAATATGTAGCAGGATACGTTGCATTTCGGTTTAAAAACAAATATAGCACACTAGGTTTAGAAACGAGACACATGGATGTTCCCAGCGATATAAGTTGGCTTCAATTTATTTCACGCGGAAAATGTATGTATCCCTTGGAACAGTGGTTGCAGACTGCTAGGATAGTAAATACAGAATTTGAAAAATTCCACGGTACAATTCTACGTAAGGAAAAATATATTTTTAAAACTTTGTACAACTTAATATCACCCAAATTACACGCCGATATTCCGAAAGAGGTGATATTATGCCTAATTAGGACTAGAACTTATATTAGAATTAACAAAATAAATAAAGAACTTGTTGCTTCAAAACTAAGAAACGAAAAAAAATTAAATTAAATTTAACTAATAAAAAAATAAAATTCTAGTATTAATGTGTGTGTGTGTGTTGATTAATCCTATACCTGCATTTAAATTAGATTATTTCTAATCCATTATTCACACTAATCAAATTAATATATTATTTAACCAAAAATTCTTTTAAAATTACTAATGTCAAATTTTATATGCTTTAAATTTGGCGCTTGTTATGACGTAATCAAGAACAAAACCGCTGATTGGTCATGCGCATGAGCATACCCTTGTCTTTATACCATGGCTGGAATTAATTTCTCCAGCAACCCTGGCAACCTTTCCAAAATTTCTTCCCCCCCCCCGTAGTGGGGGAGGGAGAAGCGTCTTTTCTTGCCGAGGATCGTCCCGCTGCCCGGTCCCACGCGGACGGTCAGGGGAATCCCTTCTCTTTCGCTCTCTCGGCCACTCTCCTCATGAACCCAAGCACCGGGCTAAGAGGCGGCGGGCCGGGAGCAGGAGAAGGAGGAGGGGGTAATGTTTTCCTCCTCATCCTTTCCAAATCCTTCCTGAGCCTCAGGTTTTCTCCTCTGAAAACTTTGACCTCATTGAGAAGCCGGCTGTACCTTCTCAAGAGGTCCTTGTCAGGGGTGGCCACGCCCCTCCTCCTGACTTTCCTTAGCCTTCCCTTCGCCCTTTTAGCAGCTTCTCCCACCTCCACCCTCTCACTCGAGGGCGATATCCCGGCCTCCTCTCCGGGTCCTCCTTTCAACTTCCCCCTCGGGGTTCTAAAAGGGGCGTCCCCGTCCTCGCCGCTCTCACTCGAGGACGAGAACGCCTCCCTTTCCTTCCTTTTGGCGCTGGCAGGCGAGGACTTCCTGCTATGCGCTGACGTCCTTTCGTCGCGCTGAAGTTGCCCGACACCCCCTTTGTCGGTCGCGGTTGCTTGGGCGGCCATTGGTCCTTTCACATCTTCCGTTCCTTTCAATGCCCTCACTATTCCTTTTTGAATGTTTATGTCATCGTTATTCGGTTCGTCCCGCTTTGTGTTTTTATTTTTGTCTTTAAATGTCTCCATATCTATGCCACGACTGTGGTAGGAAACATCTGTCCACCCCGGCAGAGCCTCTTTGCCGAGGTAAGGCGACTAGTATACTGTGGGGTTGCGCCAGGTGCCCCACAGGGATCGTTTGCGACCACACATTTTTAAAGTCTCTGCGGCCATTCAGCCCTCGGCACGATGCCTTCCACCTTGGCTTGAGACTTCCGCGCTATTGTCCCAGACCCCCACACACAAATCGGCGCGCACGCCTCATGGGCCCCCAAAAAGACTGGCCCGCTCGGCGCACGCCACCGACCGGCCAGAGGGAGACCCGCCCCGCCACCCGCCTGCATGAGGCCCGACATGCGGCGGATCACGAGCGATGTCGTACATCGAAAGCGCGCCCCCAGGTAGAATACGGATTCCCCCGGGAAACGCGTCCCGGCGCAGCCGCCGCCCCCTCACCACCACATGCCGGCCCGGGCAACCCAGACTCGGGGGCGGACCACAGGTCCCCACCCAGGCGGGTGTAAATGTGGTGAAAGTGTGTGTGAGAATGGCGTGTATATGTGTATGAATGATGAGTGAGTATGTGTGTGAATGCAGGCGGGAAGTGGTTTCCCACGCTTCAATATGATGCGCAAGAGCCCCCCGCCGGATGCATGCATGGCCCCCGACTTCCGAGCAGCTTCGCAGCGACGAAGGCGCCCAGAAAGTGCGGGGACCAAGAGTGTGTGTGTGTGTGAATATGTGTGTGTGATGGCGCGCGAGCGCGGGGAAGGCCGACCCCCGATCGAACGCACAGAGTCCGGGTACAACCGAAGGAAAGAGCAGCGCACCTCCCCCTCCTCCAATCCTGTGGTTTGTTCTCGGAGTTTTCCTCTCCTAGGTCGGTTGCCTACCATGGCTGATGAGTCCGACCAACCCGGGTCTTTTTATAAAGGTTTTACCACTCTCGCGGCCCGTGCAAGCACCGGCCCCCGGCCCCATGCTTGAGGTTACGGTGTGAGTCGCTGCACCTCCCCACGTGCAATGGGAGGCCAGTCGTTATGCCGGAACACCGGCGTGCTAACGAGACTGGCTAGGTCCCGGATTTTTTCTCGAGGTTTACTCCTCTATCCCGGTGGCGTGAAAAACACGCCTAACGGGTCCAGATACCTGGGGTTTGAAGTCGGAGTCCCCATCTTCTACCGACGATTGGGACAAGTCCCTAAGGGAGTCGCCGGGCTCCCGTTCCCTCCATAGAAGGAACTGTGCGCTCTTAGCACCGCAGAATGACCCCAGCGGGCCATCCCACGGTGAGCCCCCTCATCACGACAAGGTGGCGCACAACGAGGGGGATAAGGCTTGCGACTGCGCCTGTTCGCCAAACGCAACATATTGATAAAGTAAAATGACCGAAAGAAATGAACGAGACGAAAAAATAACTCGAGAAAGAATAAATAAAGTTTGAAATGGAAAAGCCTAAACAAAAAAATAGTGCGACACTGATGACTCATTTTTGAAAGATACGATTTCGAGCCATAATAAAATCATATATGGTTGAATTCAGCGTAAAAAATGCTACAACTTTTGTCATTACAAAAATTTTAAAATTTGAAAAAATAATAACAAGGGGTGGGGGTAAATTAGAAAATATCTATTATAAACATATTATATCGTATAACT